GGAAAGAGAAAACAAATTTATTGTGTAATGTCTATGGATCAAGCCTGGAACAGCCCATCCTGGTTAACAACTTATGCAAAGATCTCCAAGAAAATTAACTCCAGGCCACTAGAAGACCCTTATAGCATCTGTGCTGTATGCTCAGAGTACTTCTTGATGAAGTAACCACCTCACATCATTAGTTCTAAGCCAAAAGCACCTCTCAAACATGATAAAAGCCATTTTTCCAGAACACTGTGCTCAGAATTGAACCTTGATTTGCCCTCCCAGTCCTCCGATAAACATGCGGGTTGATTTGTTGACATCTAGGATGCTGGCTGTCCCTGGAGAGGTGGCAGATTTGGGTGAAGCCTTCTGGTTGGAGTTGGTTTCCTCTATACTGAGTGTACCTGTTCTTCCAAACCTGCCAAGTAGAAAAATTAATGAATAGCTTTAGAAATCACCACACTTAGCCAACACAGCTAAAAAGCTTCTCTTTTTAAGGACAATAAAAGTCACTGGAAAACTCAGAAGATGGTTTGAGGTTTTATGCCAAGTTCACTAAGCAGCTGGACACTCCTACAATCCCTGGAAAAACAAATCATCATCATCATCCTCAACTTCCCTAGTCAACATTTAGGCTGTTTTCTTTTTATATTACCTGGTTGCATGTATTCTGTGCCATTTGTTGTTGTCAATTTGGAAATCAGGGTGTTCCACTCTTGTTGATCCAGAGCCCAGATCCCACAGAAGAGCCACCTTACCCCGTCGCATCTCCAGAGCAAGGAAGTCTGTCTGAAAAACAGCAGGACACTTATGGCACCAAACCTGTGGCTTCTGGTTTCTGTATTTCAACGTGGAACACTGAGAAAGTCTTTCCAGAGTCATATCACAGGAGTTGATTCCTAGCAAAATCAGTCCCAGTGATGCTCAACAAGGGCAAGTGGAGGGCCCTGCCCTTAGGGAGGCCCAACTCCTCATCAGACTCCACCAAGCTGTTGACCACTACCCTCTGGATGTGACCATCCCATCAATTCCCCATCTACCAAACAGCCCATGCATCAAATCCATCTCTCTCCCATTTAGAAAAGGAGGTTTGGGGAGACCAAGTGTCACACCAAGCCAAAGGCCTTGTGGAAGTCTAGAGAGACAACATCTGTAGCTCTTCCTTTGTCCATGATGGAGTCACTGTGCCATAAAAGGGGAATTTTCATGACATGGCCAAGAGGCAACGTTGAAGAATCATATGCTTTCATTTTCTACCTTTGAGGATCTTCACAATCATCTAAGGCACAAAAATACCTGCATGGGACCTCATTTGGATACTTATTTTGAAATCAGGTAGGCAAAAACCCATGTAGGTGGTCATTTAAGACATCTGACTACCATCTGGTGGACACTCACCTTCCCATTGCTGCCCAGGTAGAAGAGGAGGTTGTCTGGCTCAGCAGTCTTCACGTTGAGGGTGAGGGTGTTGTAATTGGTGGATGAAATTTGGGGTTGGTAGGCACGGATACAATCTCTCTCTGCTGACACTGCCACTTTAATCTGGGGGGGAAAGGAGGAAATGGAAGCCAAAAAAAGTCTCCACATAGCACAGGTTTCTGGGTTTTGGACTTAGCTTCTGGGCAAGCCATTGGCTGAGGTGCTTTCACACCTTTGTAATCTCCTGGGTGTTGCTTGATAAAAGAGACTCACAAATAAAAACCAATGAAATCTGTCAGAAGTCACTCATTCAACTAGATTTGAAGCCAGTAAATGAAACTATTCCAATACCTTAGAAACCAACAATAAATCTTGGGGCAGGAGCCCATGTAGCTGTAAAAGCCACTGGAATAATATCAGGAAATAAAGATATAGAGATTCAAAACCTTTAAAAAAAATAAATAGTTTCTAAACTATGTTGAGATTTAAAATAATCTTAAAATGGGTGTAAAAGCCACTGGGATAATATCAGAAAATAAAGATACAGAGATTCAAAACCTTTAAAAAAAAATAAATAGTTTCCAAGCTATGTTGAGATTTAAAATAATCTTAAAATAGTTCAAAGGCAGAGAGCCTGGCAATAATTCTGGCTCGTTCATTTAACACCACAGGTTACATGATTATTCAAAAGATACATTTGTGAGTATATTACAAGTTAAGCTTTAACTTCATCAGCTTCATTAAGGTGCCTGTAACAATTAAATACACAAAGCACACACACGTGGACACAGAAAGAGTTTCTCTAATAAAAGTGTGTTAAAAGGTTACATGATTATTCAAAAGATACATTTGTGAGTATATTACAAGTTAAGCTTTAACTTCATCAGCTTCATTAAGGTGCCTGTAACAATTAAATACATAAAGCACACACACGTGGACACAGATTGAGAGAGTTTCTCTAATAAAAGTGTGTTAAAAAAAACCAGAATAAACTTTCAAAATTTGAAAAAGGGGATTTTAGGAACCTCTGGTTTAGGACACTTGAGAAAATACTACTGCCTCTCTTCTACAGTGGGTTCATTAAGCTCCAGTGGACTGAGACAGAGAAGCAATAACCATGGAATTAAGGAGATCTGCAGGAAGAACTGAAAGCCATTTATTAATTTAAAACAAAACCTCCTTAAATCTTACCATAACATACCTCTACTAAAGCCAAAGGCAAACCAAAAATGACTCACTGATAATCAATTTTCATATTCCCCTCAGTTTAATGAGGTTTATAGAAGAGTTGATTCACATTTGTTGTCTTCAGGTGGGGAGTAAAGACTTAAAAACAAGCCTGTTATTGGTTTTAAAGTAATTATAGAATCACAGACTGGTTTGGGTTGGAAGGGACCTGTCGTGGTCACCTAGTCCAGCCCCCTGCACTGAGCAGGAACATCAGCACCTACCTCATGTTCTGGATGCACAGTAGCTTCTGGCAAAGAACTTATGGACATGGTGGGGCAGAGATGGTAAATTTACTGATAGAATCAACACTCTTGTTGAAAAATATCTAATGCTAATTAATCTTGTTGATGTTCAACAAAGGCATCCCATGTCAGTCTCTAAAATAAGCTCAGAAATCAACATCTTGTCCTCCTAAGAACAGCAGCATCATCCCCTCACTTGTCTCTCTCCCACCACAACATCTGTGATTGCTTTCTGGCCTACTGTGTTCCAGTAGTTTTAAAGGGGAAAAAAAAAAGGAATTAATAAATAAATTCCTTCCTTGTTGTTCTGATAAACCTCCAAATGCAAAGAGAAACTTGAAGCTAAAACTAGTAAGACACACCAAGAGCCCTGCCCCTGTGTTCTCAGCATCAGGCAAGGCTCTTGGACTTCAGAGAGTCCTTGGCACAAGCAGGTCCTCTGGCAGTAAATTTTAGGCTCTGTACCTCAAACAACTTCCCTGCTAAAAGCCAAAGTGAAGCTGGTTGAGGCTGGGCTGGTGGAACTCACAGATGCTGCCTGCTTGCGGGCCTTGATAAACCCCCAAATGCAATAAGAAACTTGAAACTAAAACTTAATTAAAACTTAAGAAACCTGAAGCTAAAACTAGTAAGACACACCAAGAGCCCTGCCCCTGTGTTGTCAGCATCAAGCAAGGCTCTTGGACTTCAGAGAGTCCTTGGCACAAGCAGGTCCTCTGGCAGTAAATTTTAGGCTCTGTACCTCAAACAACTTCCCTGCTAAAAGCCAAAGTGAAGCTGGTTGAGGCTGGGCTGGTGGAACTCACAGATGCTGCCTGCTTGCGGGCCTGGCTGATGAGCTCTTTGATCTCAGACAAGTTTCTGTTCAGGTTCTCCTCCAGCATCCTCAAAGGTTCCAGCCTGTCCAGTAAAAGATTTGCTTGTGCTTCCACTTCTTTCACTCGTTTCTCAGCTGTGACTGCTGCCAAAACACAAATGGCACGTTGAGGGAGATGGAAAGGGAGATGAACTGTTCATTGCTAAAAAAAAACACAACTAAGGTGGCCTCTTTCTGCTCATTTTGGGCAATTTTAGACATCAGGAGGGATGTGGACACTTCAAGGTATCCCACGTGACTCCTCCAGAGGACATTTAAGAAGCCAGCACATTTTTATTGACTTAGGAAGCAGCTTTCAGTCCATCAGACACATATTTAATGCTTATTAGAACAGAGTATTAGTAGTGCTTCTGCAAGCAGTGACATTTCCAAGGAGCACTGAGGCAGCAAACTCACCAGCCTTGGAGGAATCAGTGAGAAGTTCACTGGTTTTCCTCAACGTGTCATTCACTTGGGACAATGCAGAAGAGGCATTCAGCAGCTTCTGAGTGAAATCCCCAAAGTGGCTTAAACCCAGCACAGCACTGGTGTTGGCAGACACAGCCAGCTCCTTCACCTCGAGCCTGGACCTCCTTGTATCTGAAACAGTTCCCAGGTTAAATGAAAAATAAATTAAAAAACAATGAGACAACACAGTTTTCATACACATTAGGGAGCAATAAACACCCAGCTCCACAGCATCACGTTACAAACATAGTCCCAGGATCCCAGCAGGGTGGGGTGGGCAGGGACCTCTGGAGATCATCTCATCCCACCCCCTGCTCCAGCAGCTCACCCCCAGCAGGGTGCCCAGGGTCACAGCCAGGAGGGTTTGGGATCTCTCCAGAGCAGGAGACTCCCCAGCCTCTCTGGGCAGCTGCTCCAGGCTCTGCACCCTCACCCCAAAGAAGTTTCTCCTGCTGCTCAGGTGGCACCTCCTGGGTTCCAGTTGGTGCCCGTTGCCCCTTGTCCTGTCTCTGGGCACCACTGACAGAGTCTGGCCCCAGCCTCTTGCCCCCCGGGGGCCCTTTAGCTCTTGCTCAGCACTGCTCAGATCCCCTCTGAGGCTTCTCTTCTCCAGCTGAACAGCCCCAGGGCTCTCAGCCTGGCCTGGCACAGAGATGCTCCAGCCCCTCAGCATCTCCACAGCCTCCACTGGACTCCCTCCAGTAGCTCCTTGTCTCTCTAACTGGGGCACCCCAAACTGGACTCTGTATTAGGGAACTGGACTCTGCCCATCCCAAGAGGAACATTATAGGAACACATCAGGCTCATAGTGTTTCAAGTTCCCCAAATGAGTTTGGGCACCCAGAGCCCCTGGCTGGACCTGTGATTTGAGTCCTACAGAAAGCTGGAGAGGCAGAAGGTCTACTACACCCTTTTCTCTGGGCTACAGTCATTTATGTAGCGAGTGCACCAGTCTCAGCCTCCCCTTGTGCCCAGAAGAGTGGGAAGATGCTGCAACTGGCACAGAAGATCTGATTTAGGTGTGCAGGGACCATTCTTCACCACCAGCACCCTATACAGAGGACAATGCCACCATCAACCTACACCCAGATTAAGAAAAAAACCCCAAGAAAACTTCAAGAACTGTAATAACAAATCAGAAATCAAACAATGTTGAGCTGTGAGCTGAGGAGGACAGTCCTCTGGTTGTCACAGGACAACCCAAACACCTTGGCAGGAGGTCTTCCTGAGCATGGTTCTACCTAAAAATAAACCCCAACACCTTGCTGTGGTTGGGAAAGTGTTTCAGACCCTTATTCAGAACTCCAGTGACATTTTCTCTGCTAGTTTCATTGAATTCTTGATTTTCTTGAATGGCCTCTATGTAAAAGAAAAGCTTTTTTCTTTAAAAAGGGAATTCTTTTCTTCTGGAAAAGCACAGAAAGAACTTTTTAATCAGCTGAATGAAGTTGACATTTGCAACAAGAAAATATTTAGGTGCAGCTGATACATTTCACAGCAGAGTAGAAACAATTTTGACACAAAGTATAGAAATAAGGCAAAACTTGACAGTTCTGTGTGTAAATTTCTCTCCAAGTGGGAATAAATATTTTAAGTCTTCACCCTGTTCTCCTATCAGTGTGATTCTATTGCCCTCAGAGCAATTGATTTACAGCAATGTGAAATAAGAATCAAGACTACAGCCCTTATATGATCAGCCAGTTATGTTTCATGGGTTTATTTAAAAAAAAAAAGTCAGTGTAAATCTCACTTACCATTAGGCAATGCTCTTAGTGTCAACAGGGAATCATTAAGCTGGTTGACAAGTTTATTAGTACTTTCTTTAATCTTTTCTACCTTTTTATTCAAGCCATTCAATCCAGATAAAAGGCCTGTTGGAAGAAAGAACTGTGATGTCTCCATGCACAAATGCCACACGACCCACACAAAGCCCATGGAGAGAGATAACAAGGGTTCACTTCTTTAATCAGTGAATTTCTCTTAGTTTGGGGAACAGAAAGAGCATTTTACACACAGGAATGCAAAATGAATGCAGTTTGCACCCATAAGCTCCTGTGGGCACTAGTCCATTCAAAGTTACACTTTTGGGGCCAATTCCATCAGACTGAATTGGCAGAAAGAGGCAGGAAAAGGCTAAAAATTAAAATGATTCCATGATTGTGAGCTCAAGTTCTTCACTTTTTTGCACTATCTAACAGGAACCAGCCAAAGAAGTGTTTGTCTTGTCTTTTTTTTTTTGTGATCTATTTGCAGAATCCTCTCCCTAGAAATAAAAATACATAAAACTGAAAGAACAACAAAAATTGTGTATCCTCTCCATCTGAATTCCATAAACTGTGTCCCTCATTTCTCAAGTCATTGATACTAAAAGCCAATTTATAAATGGTTAAAGAGCAAAATTATAGTCTTAAACAAAGAAGTATAATACTGCATGACTCCATAAGACATTAATCTTAATTGGATAAAAATATGAACACAGTCAAATGCAGTATTTTACTGTAGCTTAAAAAAACACACAAAAAACCCCCACAGAACAGGATCTAGAAAAAGAAACAGAAATGTGAACTCTCAGGGACTGACCATCGTTTCTTTTCTTCACATTTTTAGCTTCATTCTGAAAAAAATATGTACACAGTCAAATGCAGTATTTTACTATAGCTTAAAAAAAAACACAAAAAAACCCACATAAAACCCCACAGAACAGGAGCTAGAAAAAGAAACAGAAATGTGAACTCTCAGGGACTGACCATCGTTTCTTTTCTTCACATTTTTAGCTTCATTCTGAAATTTAGAGCTGAGCAGAAGAGTTTCTTTCCCAAGAAGAGTGAGAGATTCTTCTGGCTGAAAAACAGAGACATCAACCATGTATGAGTTACTGAAATTCAGCTGAAAGCATTTCTGCAGATGTCTATTTGGAGTTACTGAACATTCTTATTATAAATTTAGGAGATATTCTATTTAATACCTTATTCAGCATCAATTAAAAGAACCTCACCATGCTGCAATCATTTGTCCAAGAACGTTGGGTTTGCAGCCAGGGAAAGCAGAATGAGATAAAAGGGGAAAAAAATGAATAATATTAAGAGTAATAAGGTCAGACTAACTGCTGAGGTCTTTTTAATTCATCAAGTATCAAAACCACTAGAATATGATGAAAATGAGAAAGATATTCCTTAAAATACTAATAGTGGTACTTACTAAATCCAAGGGGCCATTCACAACTCTAGAGGCATCATCTGCCAAGCTCTCAGTCCTCTCAATCACACTTTTCACACTGGAGTGGGTGTGGACAGCAGCACTTGTGGTCAGAGTCACATTCCTCACTTTAGAGAGGCCACTAAACAGAGAATGAACAAATAATTCTGTTTCCATGAGAGTATCTTCATCAAGCACCCAGTCCCATGTCTTGCTAGAATAGAAAGGAATGAGCAGCCCCTGCCCTGAGTTGTGTAAGGGGTTTAAGGTCATTATTTTGAACTGAAAAAAAAAAAAAAATCAGTTTAGAGAAGGTTTTAATCTTTTTTTTTTTCCTATTTTGTTCTTCCTTGTTCTGCTTGGTACCTTTTCATCTTTTTTTTCCCCCTCCATTTTATTCCTTCTTGTTTATAGTTTTGCAATTTATAAAGTTTCTTAGTCACTTAGAGCAAACAAATCCCATCACCTAAACAGGACAGGATCCTAGCTGGAGCTCAAAAGCAAAGTAGAGGAAATATAGAATCTAGGAGGAAATGAATCACCTGAAATCTCTTCACTGTTAAATTTTGCTTTATTGAACTTATCCAGCAGCAGTGAAGTCAGCAGAGCTGCTCAGTGTTAATCAGAGCAAAATTTTCTGTTCTCAGACTTTAAAATACACAAAAAAAATTTGCCAGTCTGGTGTGATTTAACTTTTAAGACCTATCTGCTGATTTGAAAAGAATTCTAGAAGGTTGATTTCCATTGAGTGAACTGGAATGACTTCCCAAATCTCTGTAAATTTGAGATTAAAACCCATTTGTTTCTGCAAGATTGCTTTGAAAACAGCAATAATGGAGCCATAGCAGGAAAAGCTTCTTGATGGGAGTCAGCAAGATGTTGTCAACCACACAGACCAGAAGCTTTCAAGCCCTACAATGATATACTCACTGGATGTTCAATGGTTAATTAGTTCCTGTGTTAGTCACTCTCACAAAATGTGAGATTAATCAACCCCCTCCATGGCATTTAATAAAAGTACACTGCATTAAAAGTAAAAAGCACTTAAAATGTGGAATAAAAATTGATCATAGAAGGGTTTGAGTTGGAAGGGACCTTTAAAGATCATCTAGTCCAACCCCCCTACCACAGGCAGGGACTTTCTTTAGTGGATTAAGCTACTACCTATTTAAATTAAAACTGACACTCCTATAAATCTCTCCAGATTTCATATTTCTCCAGTTGATCACCTCTCCAGTGCATCAGCAAGTCTCTGGAGCTGGGTGGCATGGTCTTCTGCTCTGTAGACCAGGTCAAGCACTCCTCTCACAGACATCTGCATCACCAGCTCATCCACATGGTGCCTCAGCTTGGTGCTCCACAGGACAAACCCATCCTGCTGGACCTCCAGGTTCTGCACAACGAAATTAGGTCATTTTTTTTTCCCCAATAGCAAAATACACCATAAATTTTAACACTAGAAGAACTTACAGATGTAGAGTTCTTTACATCTTGGGCAAGAGCAGCAGCAGTGTTCACTAGGACCTTCCCTTCTTTAAGGAGTGCAGCTGAGACTTCTTCACCTTCCTTTATATTTAGCTTTTTGTCCTAGAGCATAAATCAAGTGGTTTATAGCAGTCTCTAAAGTCATAAAGTTATAGGAGTTCATATAAAACAACCATTTCTTGGTTTTCCAACAAGGGTCTGGTTTCCTTCTAAATTTTAAGCTATCATGGACAGCATCACATTGAAACACACAAGTCTAAAAAGCAGCTTTTCATCCCAATCTCATCTCTGATCATTTTTATGCAGCAACACCAACTGTCCAGCCTTACATTTAACTCAGCCAGGTTGCTGGAGATGAGAGGAACCAAACGACTGGTCTCCTTGATGTTCTCAAATGCCTGGTCCACCAGGTCCTGGGCGTCTTGCAGGCTGCTGTTGTGCTTTGACAAGAGCTGGTTTGCATCCTTCTTCAGCTCAGCAAGCTCCTGCTGGGGTTTAAGATAGTCCTTCTGAACCTGCAGCAACAGGTTTCCAGCAGCTCTGACAATGAGAGGAACCAGAGAGTAAATTAAGTGGCAAAGGAGAACCTTGGGCAAGGATTTCTGGAGGAGAAAATGGAGTGATGTGGAATTAATTGGAAGGCATCTTCTTGCAAGAGTCTGCAATATTTTTTGCTGTGATATCACATAAATGTGGTGCTTTAGTTACTCATCTCACCACACAAAGAGATGACTTCCTGGAGGGAAGGGCAGTAATTCAGTTTATTCAGTTTATAAACTGTGTGTGGTGACAGGAGGGGAAAGGGGTTGGTACAAAACACATTCCCTTGGACTTAATTTGGAATAACCCCCCCCAATTAAAAACTCTGTGGGGCATTCCTCTAGATCTTCATTGTCCTGATTCATATTTTGACTATAGATGCAAAAAACAAATTATGAAGTTTGACACTGGAAAGAAACAACCAAAGTGAAGGACAAATATCAGAGAGTCCTGAAAAGCTGAAATATGGAAAAAGAATTCACAGCCTCATTAAAATGAACATTGAAAGGCTCAATCTCTGGATTTGGCTTCTTTTAATGAATAACAGACATTATCTGGGAAAGAGCAATATAAATAATTAGCTTGTCAGCTGTTAAACATTCCACTTGTTCTATTTGGGAATATCTGCCTCTCCATCTGAGCACGTTCTGTTATTGAAGGAATTGAGCTGAAAAAATCACCCTCTAACTCCACCCCTTTAGTTTCTCCTCATTTCAGCACAGAATCTGCACACTGCAGCTTTTACACATACAAAAAGTGTTACTTTGACACAAGTCTTTGTGCCTTTTAATCTGATTTCAAGTCTTCAGCTGAAAGAAACCTACTTTATTTCACAGTTCCCACAACTTGCACCTATTTCCTCAAACTAATAACTCAGGGTCCTCACACTCAGAAGCCACAGCCTTGAAGTTACAGGAATGAAAGCATTTTACAGCACAAGAATAGCTTCTGTTTCCACACAGAGTGAAAAAGGTTGTAGCCCAAATTGTTTGGGAACTTTGCTTTCCATGCAGACCTCAGTTGGAAATGTTGTTTAACAGCTTCTCATCATTCAGTTCACTGTGAGCAAGGTGGCAGCTCCTGCTCCTCAAAAAAAGGGCTGGCAAGCTGCTTATTTACATCAGTTTTGAATCTACAGCTGCACTGCACGATAAATTCCACAGAGAAAACCACTCAAAAATCTTCTTAACCCTCTTCTTCCATCTGGCAAAGGACACTTGACAAAGAACTTTCAGAGATTTCAACAGAAAAAAAGTTCCATTTCCAAATGCCTCGTGTCACAGCTCAAAAGATGATGTGGAAAGTCAGAACATTCTGTTGCTGAAACGTTTCTGTGAGTGCAAACAAAAGCTATTTGAAGGTCATAATAAATATAGGAATAAATGGTACTTTTCTAGCCCAGTTTCATGTCTGTTTAGCTTCTATACAATTTGATTGCCAGCACAAGGACAAGCAGAGGAGTCTGTGGAGCAAAATCAGACATGCTAGAAACACAATCATTCCATCCTGCCTAATCCAAAGCAGTTCATAAAGAAAAGACTTTTTTCTTTTCAGGAATATTCCACTCTGGTCTAAATCTTCATCCCTTAAAACCAATGGTGACATTTCCCAGCTTTTACTAGGCTAGGCCAACCCTTACTATTCCTGAAGAACACAGAATGCTGTGACAAATGCCTTTGTTAGACAGAATTACAACACCATTTGGGTTGGAAGAGACCTTTAAGATCAAGCCCAACCACCCTCCAGCCCTGCCAGGTCCCCACTGCCCCGTGTCCCTCACCCCACATCTCCACAGCTTGGAAACCCCTCCAGGGGTGGGGACTCCACCACTGCCCTGGGCAGCCTGGCACAGCCCTGGGCAACCCTCCAGGGGAAGGAATTCTTCCTAATGTCCAACCTAAACCTCCCCTGGAGCAACTTAGGGCTGTTTCTGATTGTGATATCTCTTGCCCCTTGGGAGCAGAGCCCGACCCCCCCCTGGCTCCAGGCTCCTGTCAGGAGCTGTGCAGAGCCAGAAGGTCTCCCCTGAGCCTCCTTTGCTCCAGGCTCAGCACCCCCAGCTCCCTCAGCTGCTCCTCCCCACACTTGGCCTCTAGACCCTTCCCCAACTTCGTTGCCCTTCTCTGGCCACACTCCAGCCCCTCAAGGTCCTTCTGGAAGCAACTGACTGAGACACTTCTACAATGGCCAAAACCAACTCCAAGATGTGCCTTAACACCAGATCTGAAACAAACTGAAACCAGTGAGTTTCTTCATAGAATCATAGAATCCTTTAGGTGGGAAGGGACCTCCAAGATCATCAAGTCCAACCCTGGAGCCATTAGGGCTCTAAAGTCCTCTGCTAAAACAGATCAGAATCTGTCAGGGTTGGAAGGGACCACAAGGATCCCCCAGTTCCAACCCCTCTGCCATGAGCAGGGACACCTCCCACTAGATCAGGCTGCCCAGAGCCTCCTCCAGCCTGGCCTTAAAGACCCCCAGGGATGGGGCCTCAACCCCCTCCCACTAAACAAAGAGGCTTTAGGTCTCTTAGTCCCATATGGGACGCTCAAATATCTCCAAATCCTCTAACTCCAAATTCAGAGTCCATACAGCTTCACCAGGGCTGGTTATTCATCACACTGCCTCACACCTTTCTCCAGCTCTCTCTCTCCAAAAAGCATTAGGGCATCATATAGACAGATGTGAAAGAAAGGAGAGGGATTTTTTTTATACAATAGGCTTACTTGAGGGCACTGGCAGCACTGTGGTGCTGCTGGGCAAAGTCTCTCTGGCGCATCACATCCAAGAAGGCAGAAATATCATCCTGCAGGCTCTGAGAAGTAGCATTGGCCAGTGGGAGGTCCAGGCCCAGGGTTTCATTTAGTGACACAGCAACCTCAGCAAGGGCTAAGGAGGAAAGTGAACCATTTAGTCATAGCATTGAAAAAAAAAAAGTGTGTGAACCCTCTGTGCCAACAGCTCTTGCCGTGTCAACAGCTCTTTAAGAGTTGTGGAGGAAATACCCCTCTAAATTGGGTAAATCAATGGAATTAACTTAAAAGCAGGGTACCTTTGGTGGTTGTGTGTACTCTGTCAATAAATCCAGCCAGCTCTTGACTTTTATTCCTGGTTTCCTGAGTCTTTGTGTGAAGCTGCCAAGCTTTTTTCAGAAATCTAGAGGACTAGAATAAAATCAGAGATGATCTTTGACAGTTCTCCTAACACACTGGTTATTTCATGACATTGCTCTGTGGTTTATGCACTTTCTTCTCTAATATTGAGAATACTTTGGGAGAGGAAACTATGGGTTTTGTTAAGGTAATTCACTTGTCCTCTGCTGCTTCCATGCTTGCAAATGCCTTAATTATACCAAGAGCAGCAAAAAATTGTGTTATCAGTTATTTTCATAATCAATAAAGCCATAGTGACCAGGCATTTCTTGAGCAAAGTCAACATTCTATTATTTTAGTTATAATTAATGTGTCTTAAGGGGAAAAAAAAGCACTCTTCTGGGTAGAACACTGTTAGCAATAACAACACTCTTAGAGCAAACACCTCATTAGATCATGTATCCATGGGCAGAAAATTATGCTTGTGTATGGTCAGCAAATGAGATCCAAAGGCTGAAAAACTATTGATCATTTTCTAGCTAAAGTTTTCCTTGTGTTAAAACTGAGTAAAGGATAGAAACATCTACTTTTCATATAGATTTTCAAGAGATTTATTTCTGCTGAGATCATTTTAAACAATACTACAAGTTTCAAACACTTTTTGGTGAATATTCAGCTCTTGCATCATTTTTTTAAGGAGTTAAAAGCAGGGAGAAGAAATTATCTCCCTTTCTCCAGATTTAAGGCCTTAAATAATCACAGGACAAAACCCCTTCACAGAAACTATGTGTATCTCCTGTACAACATCACAAAGCACTGTAGTTTGCAGAAGAATCCCACAGCTCAATTAACTCAGAAAGCCTTTTGCATGGGCTGAATTCTTTCCCTGAGCTCTAGAGATTTAAAATCATATCTGAGCATCAGTGGCATTTATGTACTAAGAAATCTCAAAGGATTTCTCCAGAAATGCTCAAAATGAAGAAGTTGGCACCTACCTCTTCATGCAGCTGATGGATTCTCCCTGATAAACTCAGAAGAGTTTCTCTTGCTGTAGCTAATGAGTGAGATGGATCTTTTCTAGGAACTAGAGACCCCTAGAAGAAATAAGAAGAAACACCAAACTGTAACTTAAAGACTGGGCACAAAAGGGCAAATAGAATGTTTCAGTGTTGTGGATCCAGGAAAGTTTGGGGAAGAAAACTTTTATTTATATGTTTTAAGTGACTGATTTGCAAAGCATGTAAGGGGACAAAGTAATTGCAGTTCCTCTTCATTTTTCTTAAGTAGGGAAACAAGGATCCAGCCATGCTCTACTCAACTGGGTAATAAGAAAGCAACAACTTCTGCCTTCCTGATTCTGTTTCACCACAGTCTGAGATGCCCAAAGAAGCCACTTTGAGATGTTCCAAGGCCCCTCAGATTAAATGCTTCCACTTATTCCTACAGCAGCTGCTGTTTCAGCAGCTGGTCTTGCCAGAAAAACTGCATCTAGGGAGTCACTGCAAGGATGACTCTGGAGGGCTCTATGTTTCCAAGTCAAAACCCAACGTGTGGAGCTCAGGAGTTCAGCCCTGCAGACAATAAAGCAGCACAAGCAGCCCTGCAGAACCACTATGAAAAAATATCAGGCTGTATTTGGCTTCAAGGTCACCTCCAAATTGCTCTACAGGGCAATAAATGGCCCATTGTATCCATGTGTGTCATGGCTGACAGGGTCAAGGCTTGCAACAGAACAGCACTTTCTGCAAAGAAACTTAAGGCACCTCTTACAAAGAGGGTGATTCTTGGCCAAGTTATTTTTAGATTTCAGATGTTTCAGAGCCAAACACTGTAAATGCCATCAAAAGTATCATTTTGCCCAAGTTTTTTTTTAAGAAGTGATACACAGGATTATCCAGCAGCCTTCTGTCAAAGGAAAAATTCAGAGTCTTCCTCAGCATGGGAAAGAACAAGTGACAGAGAGACAGAAGGCAGGGACACCTCCCACTAGAGCAGGTTGCTCAGAGCCGCATCCAGCCTGGTCTTCAACACCTCCAGGGATGGAGCATCCACTGGGCAGCCTGGGCCAGGGTCTCACCACCCTGAGGGAAGAACTTCTTCCTCATACCTAATCTAAATCTTTCCTCTTCCAGTTTGAAGCCATTACCTCTCATCCTATCCCTCCAAGCTCTTGGAAAAAGTCCCTCCCCAGCTCTCTTGTAGGCCTCCTTCAGATACTGGAAGGCCACAAGAAGGTGTCCCCAGAGCTTTCTTTTTTTCCCAGGCTGACCAACCCCAACTCTCTCAGACCTTCTAGAACCACAAAATTCAGTATTCCATCCTTTAAGGGAGAGAGGAGCAGGAAGGAAAGTTTTCCCCAGTCAACCTGGAAGCATCCTCCATCTCAGAACATCTCAGGTAGAACCTTTCAGTGCTGGACACTCTCAGTATTTCTACCATTTGTGAAATCTTTTTACCTTCAGATGTTTTGTTGCATTCTCCAGCTCTGAGAGCATCCCATAAGGCACACGAGCAACACCAGTGAGGTTCACAGCAAGTATGGCCATGCTGAGGTCATCCAAGCTGTTCAACAAGACTCCTGTGCAGTTGTCATCACAAGCTAGATCAAAACAGTTTAAGAAGAAACAAAATGAGTATTAAAAAGAAGCCACCATATACTTAAATTTATTATACAGCTTATTCAGCCTGTTTAGCTGTGTCACTATAAATCCAGGGTGATGCCAGTGCCACTGACACTCAAAGGGAGGACAAGAAACTCAAGCCTACAGTGATTTAATTCCATTTATTCCTGGGGTTTATTTGGTTGTTTCTTTTTTGTAACTCACACAAAGCAAATTCTGAACCCTAAATCCCAATTTATTGTAAAATCAGATCACTCCACTTGCTGTGTCTTTCTTTGATCCACTCTCTCATAAGGAATGACATGATTATTTATTGGGAGACCATGATTCATTATTTCATAGAATGAATAGAGCTTATCATCAGGAATTCAAGGAATAATCCCATGCATCTAAATACCACTGGGCTAGACCCAAGCAAAGAATTGAGAAGCCACCTACAGACACACTCCTCTCCCAGAAGCAGATGCCTGGGCTCACACTCCTGGCAGAGCTGTCCTGTCACTCCAGGCTTGCAGAGGCACTGCCCAGTGGCAGGGTCACAGTGAGGGTGAAGAGAGCCACTGGGATGGCACCCACAGGGGTGGCAGCTGCCACCAGGCAGCTGAGGGTCACCGTGGTAGCCCAAGGAGCACCTACAGGGGGAGGAAGGGGACACTGAGCACCAGGGATGGTCACCACAGAGTCAGATGTTGTGTTTTGCATTGAGAATCTCTGATAGGTTTTTAATTAAGTGTCTTAACAAATCACTAATTCACAGGACTCATCCATGTATTTCTATGAACACTGAATAATCCATTCCAAGGACAAAGGTGGCTCTTGTTCATCAAACTGCTCTGGGGAGCTGGGAATAAATGGGAATGTCTCCTGGGACTCACCTTTCACAGTACTGCCCCTCATACCCTGGGAGACAGGCATCACAGTGGTAATCCCCAGCACCTCTCAGCACACAAGTGGGACTAAAACTGGAGGAAGGATAAACAATCACCTGCTAGCACAGAAATGGGAGATCATACAGAGAAAGAAAACACTGTCAGGTCCAATAGTGCCAGCAGCAGCAGCATCCTCTGCTCCATCTGATGCTGCACTCTGGAATTTGCACTTTAAATTGTGTTTCTTAAGCAGTTTGCTTTCCCAGTGCTGCTTAATTAGTGGCTAATTGGCTATAGCACCTTCTGGCCTTAAAAAGCTCAGGCAATGAAATGTGGATGCTGCTTGGGAGGGCTGTAGTGTGTATCTAACAGACTTGCATGAGAACATCAGAGTGGCCAGGCTCTGCTTCAGCTGCCCCAAAAGCTAACAACAAATGTGCTTTTCAGGCTTCTGGAGAAAAAAAAATGTATATAAAAATGCCTGCACAGCATTTTGACTTTCTAAATATGGAGTTAACTGTTCCTCTGCCAAACAAATACTTGTAGAAATTACAAACAAAAGAGGACTTGTTCTTCCTCTAGGGTTGAGCTCATGAAAAGCTCCTGCCTGGACTGGAAGTGACCTGAAGCTTTGGAAATACAAAAGCATTGTTTTTTTAAATGAAGAGACTAACATTTGAAAGGAAAACAGAGCAACTCAGAAAACATTCTGTGCAGCTGATCTGTTTTTAGAGAAAAAAAAAAATTGACTTATCCATCAGTTAATCTTTTCAGTTTAAAGCCTCAGCTGCCACTAGCTGTGAACAACTCAGAAGCTCTGAGCAGCTCAGGGAGTCTTCAAAGATCCAAAAATTAAGAAAATGTGATGATAACGAAGCAGATCAAGAGAAATTGAGGATGTTAAAATGTACACTGGATTTTCTAAGCTCTGGTTACCTGACAGGGTTGGCTCTGGGACAGGCACAAGGGGAACAGTCACTGGCAGATCCAAGCACTTCCCCATAGTAGCCTGGGGCACAAGCACTGCAGTCATCACCAACTGTGTTATCTCTGCAGTTCTGAGACACAAAAAGGAACTCAGACAGCTTAAAAACAACCACAAAACAACAAAAGGAACTCTATCTCCCCCCTCCCAAGGCAATAAATGTATAGTTTCCACCAGTCATCTTAAATTGTCCTTACCCATGGGTCAGCATTCTCTGAGTGGAGGAACTTTTTATGCAATAAGCAGAATTCCAGCAAATTTTCTCTTATGGGAACACCCCCTCCAGCAAGGCTGACCTAATTTCTGCTCCAAATTTCCATTCAGGTTTATATATTTCTGCTTTTATTAACCCAAGGTGAGGAAACCCCAGTATAAGGAAAAAAAAAACTCCTGAAAAAAAATTAAGCAACTGCTGAAAAAATGACCCAGGATACCTGGATGAAAAATATGTTTCAATTTACAGCAAATGCATTTGAAGGAGGAGCATCCACAGTTTGACTTCACAGACATTACATCTCTTTTGTCAACAGTACTGGCCAGCAGCCAGTGATATTTTTTTGGTTTAAAAAAAAATCATCAAAATGATTCTATGATTCTAGCATTTCACTGACTAGTCCCCCAAGTGAATAAAATTCAGTTTATCCTTTTTTTTTTCCTTTTTTTGATTGGTATTCTTGCAAGCGTGCACATTCTAGGGGTTAGTTGAAGATAATAAGTTGTAGCAATGCAGGAGCAGATGTCAGAGGTGATAAATCATCTCTTTTACCTACTCTGCTCAGCTAGAAATGTCTCAGTAGTCACCTCAACACATCAGTGACCTGCAGCTCCTGCAACAAGAAGCTGAGAGGAGGAGTGACTAGAGTTCACTGAAAACCTTCATGTCTGGGCCCTGTAGAAATAAGAACCACCCTTCTTACTCAGGAGATACAAACCTGAAGGCCAACAAATGGTTTACAACAGCCTGAGGGGCTCAGGAATCTCACTTTAAAACCCCCTTCAGGAATGAATTACACAGATGCCTTTGAGCTAACCAGTAGTAACTCCTGGGAGACCCTGCTGCAGACTTCCAGGAGTGAAAAGGGGCTGAGAAGAAAGATGGGGACAGACTTTTTAAGAGGATTTGTAGTGATAGGATGAGGGGTAATGGCTTTAAACTGGAAGAAAGTAGATTTAGGATAGATTATGAGGAAGAAATTCTTCACAGTGAGGGTGGTGAGCCCCTGGCCCAGGCTGCCCAGAGAGGTGGTCGCTGCCCCATCCCTGGAACCATCCCAGGGGAGGTTGGACACAACTCTGAGCACCCTGCTCTAGCTGGGGATGTCCCTGCTCAGTGCAGGGGGGTTGGACTGGATGACCTTAAAAGGTCCCTTCCCACCCAAACCATTTTATGACTTACAGCCTTATTTATAGCTGAGAATTTGCTGCCCATCAGGCTGTCAGCCCACAAGAGAAGCAATGTGTTAGACAGATGTGGCCCCTCTTATTTTGGGATAAAAGGAGAGAAATGAGCAAAGCTGAGGTCTCTCTTTTTATACCTTCAGTCTCTGGGAGTTAAAAATGCCTCACTTCAAGCTGCCCAGAGGATTCTCTTCCTGCAGAGGCAAAGAGTTTGACTTGGAGTTAAGTCTGTGGTTTGTGTTCTGTCTTCTTGCTTCCTTTACTGCTTTTTTTGTGGGACTAAGTAGCCCTTGGTCAGACCAAGATGCCTAAAAAACCTCACAGAGAAACAGAGAAGCTGAACTGACACTTGAGTTCTTTTTAAAGCAATAATAAAACTCAAATAATTCTTGATTTTGAAAACATCAGTGCCCCCAAAGATGGATAATTTTACTGAATGGACTCTAAGGGAAATAATACTGAGATTTTCTAGCCTTGGGGGTGTATTAATACTTTATTCTGTTATTACAGCTAAATATTCCTCCCAGAAACTCCTTCCCTAGGTCACTGCCATTGTATTCTCTGGTGAAATCAACAGAAACATGTATAAATGGTACATACCAAGCACTTCCCAGTCTCAGGATCACAGGTTTCACTGTGGTTGTGGCACTGACATGGCACACAAGGTGCTATCAGAGCATGGGGCTCTTTTACACCAAGTTCTGGGTGCTTTCCCCTGTAGTAGCCTGGAGCACAGCTCTGTTTGTAAAGGGAATTGGAAAAAAAATAGGAGATCAAGCTATCAAACAATCTATCAACAATTACAAATGATTTCAAAAGTAATTTTTTATTATTTCATTCTCAGACACAGATAAAGGGGTCAAAGCTTCTGTACCTGACAGGACAATCCAGCATAACCAGCAGGACATCTACATTGCTCTACAAGATGAGCTCTGCCTCTGCCCAGATGCCTTTCTTCAAACCTCACTGCAGTTTCCATTGAGATATTTGCAATCCTACAACACATAAGCAGAAACAAGCAGCAACATCTAGAAAGTTCTAGCACCAAAACTGAGATCTCAATAGTTCTATGCTTCAAGGTCAAGGTTGCCAAACAAAATCTTCCATGATCCCCTTTTCCCTGTGCAAATATCTCTGTGAAATCTGAATATTCTTTACTTATTGATGGGATTTCAGGACCTACAATGAATGTATCTGAAGTATTTAAAAGTAAATATTGAAAAGATTGATTCCCATTGGCCTGCAAAACTTGACAAAGCCACCATGCAAGAGTATGTATTTCTGTCTCAGAAACACTAGAGAGGAATACATCTGGTTTCTCCCACAAAGTTTTGGACAGAGGTAACAAAAAAAAAGAGAGTTATGGGGGTGTGAATCAAAAATCAGCCCAAATCTGGAGGTGGAACCACACTGGTCACAGCTGGGAAGATGGACAGATGTTGGGTTTTCATTGGATCCACCTCTGTGTGTCCTGCTAGCTTCTGAACTGACAGATGTCATGCCCAAATCCCACCATCATCATCATTAGCAACCTAGTTCTGCCCAAATTAGCAGCAAAATGCCACAATTCTGAGGTGGGAGTATTTTCCTACCACTGTTCATGAAGCTACAGGAGAGACCTAGACTGATACAAACCCAAAAACTCAGAGGACTGTGTGTTTCAACTGAGAAAAACAACCAAAAAAAATTCAATACTCAATATTAGATGGGAAATAAATGATTTAGAATCATCTCACTATATCATCCATCAGCCTGCAAGGTCCTGGGCTGCTTCAGGGGCTTTTCTACCCAAGTAAGCAGCAGAGGCACTGTTAAAGAGAGATTCTACTGCTGTTAGAGGTCATTCATGTTTTCTTGTGAGAGGAAGAACAAAAGTCACCAACAGTACATTGGAAATGTCTCTAATTTGAGTTAAATCTTGCCTGTATCACTCAGGACTATTTCTAGGTTAAATCACAGCAGATGCAATACAAGAAATGAATGCAATCAGAGGATGTTTTACCTGCTTTGCTGCAGCCCTTGGCCATAAGCTGCCTTGATGAGGATGTATTCAACATTGCTCAGCACTGCCATGAAGTCAGGACGTGAGACAGGCTCATCTGACACAGAGTTAAAATACTTCCAGGAATCCTAGGGGAACATAACACCCACTGACCCAAAATTCTTCCTCTAGATTAGAGCTAAGAGATCAAGAACTCACACCACTCTTCCCATGTGCAGCTCACAACAGGTGATGTGTTCAAAGTATTGTGTTAAATATGTAGATTTTCTTTATAAAAGCTCATAAAACAAAGGGAATATTTCCAAACCCATTTTTTTTGGCTTACCTCCTTCATTTCTACTTCCTTGTCAGTTCTTACTCCATTTTCTGGAGGAGGGATATCTACATAGATGACCAACTTGCTGTTGTGACCTCCTTTCATTAGGATCTGTGGCTCAAAATTGGAGGTCCCAAAGCCATCCAAAGCAAAAAAAGCAACAGTATATCTCAGCTTCCCTCCATAAGCCAGGAGCTGTTTGGGTAAAAATTATCACTTTTAGTTGTTGCAAGGTTAGAGCTACTAGCTGAAAATATTTTAACATCATCAGAAGACTTGGGAACTGTCAGTTCTTAGAATAATTGGCAATAAAATGTGAAAATAGACTTAAACTCAGGAGTTTTTGCACTGAGGTTAATCCATATTTCTAAAAAGCAGTCTCAGTTTCTTCTTTTAGGTGTGCACTCCATTTTCATTTCATCCCTTGCAACAGATTCCATGATCTATACAAGGAATCTAACACCAAGGTTCAAAACTTTTGGGTTTCTAGAGTAAAATTGAACACATCCCTCTTTTCCCACCATATCTGAAGAGTAATATGGTCACAAAATATGGGTGTAACCAATTTACAGGCTCAAGGAAAATCTCATTGGGAAAGGGTAATGTAAACATGGATTCTGCTTTCTATAAGCCCTGAATGTTTAGAAAATTATGACCTACAAGAACAGAACTAATGCAGAAAAATGTTATCAAAAGAAAGTGACTGTTAGAGAAAATGATCTATAAAATAGTCTAATTATTTAATCCTCTTACCTGGTCCCCCTGGAACTGCTCTGGTAACCTCCAGTAAAATGTTTCTGTATTTAAGTACTCCCTGACTATGGCAGCATCCAGTAAAACATCAGGAAACTGTGAAAATACTCCTTCAACTGTTCCTGTCAGGTTGCTCTGGGCTACTACACGCAGAATGGACTGAGCTGGAGTTAAGGTGATCTGCAACACAAAGAGCAAAAGAGTCCTTCAACAAAAATACTCTCTCTCAGTGTATTGTAGGAGGGTTTGGGTGAGAAGGGACCTTTCAAGGTCATCCAGTCCAACCCCCCTGCAGGGAGCAGGGACATCTGCAGCTAGAGCAGGGTGCTCAGAGCTCCATCCAACCTCCCCTGGGATGGTTCCAGGGATGTTCCCTGTCTTTTAAGTTTACTTACAGGAATTCTCACGTGATCTTCCACTTCCAGACAAAAGGTGGACATCCCAAAGCAGAAGCATGGAGTGCAACCTAGAGCATTGTCAGCAGACAGAGCAAAGGTTCCAGGTTTACATTCACTGCACTGGAGACCAAATACATTTTCCTGGAGGAAACAAAAAAAACCCCAAATGTAACAGCATATTCATGTCACTTCATTTTCCAATGCCTAAAAAACAAATTAAAATAGGCAGAAATTGTGGAATATTCAAACTAAACTCATGTATTTGAATTTGTGGCAAAAATTAACAGCTGTACATTCCCATTTAAGGCTGGAAATTTCTTCCCTCCATCTAGAAAATGGGGTTTCAAAAGCCAAAAAAGCTTCTCAGTAGGAATAGGAATGAAGGGACTGGGGGTCTTTAAGGCCAGGCTGGAGGAGGCTCTGGGCAGCCTGATCTAGTGGGAGGTGTCCCTGCTCATGGCAGAGGGGTTGGAACTGGGGGATCCTTGTGGTCCCTTCCAGCCCTGACAGATTCTGATCTGTTTTAGCAGAGGACTTTAGAGCCCTAATGGCTCCAGGGTTGGACTTGATGATCTTGGAGGTCCCTTCCAACCTAAAGGATTCTATGATTCTATGACCTATTTCCAAGTGTTTTGTTTTACTCTCAGTTCCCAAGTGATAAGTCCAACTTGAAGAAACACCCAAAACTAGTCAGTGCCCACTTTAACCAGCACCTTTCAGCAGAAGACTGGAAGGAGACTGATGAAGGCACATTTGTTGCCTTGAAGGAAGTTCTATCACTCAGTCTTTCAAGAATAGTTTCCATATGAGCAGGAGGAGAAACTTCTTTGTTGTGAGGGTGCAGAGCCTGGAGCAGCTGCCCAGAGAGGCTGTGGAGTCTCCTGCTCTGGAGAGATCCCAAACCCTCCTGGCTGTGACCCTGGGCACCCTCCTGTGGGTGAGCTGCTGGAGCAGGGGGTGGGATGAGATGATCTCCAGAGGTCCCTTCCCACCCCACCACGCTGGGACTGTGTGACTTTCATTTGGATTTTCAAAAGAACAAGCTACATCATCTGAATCAACATGCTGGTCCCAAAGCTGCCAAAACCAGAAGCAGCTTCTCTGCCCTTGAGTTTCCTTTGTACAATGAGGATAAGAACAGAGCAGATTTTTCACTGGAGTTTTGTACCATGCAATTAGTTTTTTTCAGTATCTTCCCATTGAGCTGTACTCAGAAGAATTCCTAGATTTTATGAAGGAATATTTTTCCCTGGCTTGAGGCAGAGGCATTTTCTCTGCATTGCTCATTGCAACATGATGCTTTTACCTCTTGCAGCTGGTTCTTCTCCAAACTTCTATGTGTACAGAGAAAACTTTTATATAACAACTAAAAAACAACAGGTATGAGTTAAACTATTGTATTTTGCCTTGCAAAGAGCCCCAATAATAATAGTTCATAACTCATACTAGTTCATCCCTCAGATGCATTGTTTCTTAGTGGAAATAAGGTGGAATATTTATGTGGAATATATAATGTGGACCCCAAAAGGGTCTGAAATACTTCAGTACCTTGCAGGTACAGATGCCAGTTTCTTCTTCACAGCCACAGAGTCCTTCAGTGTCATCACAGGTGTCTGCTCTGGTTCCACTCACATCACAGTCACAGGCCACACAGTCTGGGTAGTCCCTGTAGCCCAGGGCACACTTGGAACAGTCTTGGCCTCCAAATTCAGCTTTGCACTGGCATTGACCTGTCAGCACATCACACTGGAGACTGGTTGAACCACTGTGGCTACAGTTGCAAGCCTTGGGTGAAGAGAAGAAATGGTCATAAATCAGGAGATTTTTAACAAGAGTTTTGTGAAAACACAACCACAGGAAAATTAGAGTGGCCCTTAAAACTCAGTGTTCATCACCAGCTGCTGGACAGTAATAAAAGGGAAGAACTTTCACATAGAAATGAGGCTGTTTGGTTGGAATTGAACAAAGAACTGTATTTACAGTAAACAGTGGAGAACAAAAAGCAAGAAGGTTTGTTGATACCCAAATCTAGGCTGGGAATCAAAGGAGTTGAAGGAATGTGTTCCAAGGGGAAAAAAAAATACAAAAGGCTTTATTTAAAACAACAGGTGTTGAGTGCAGGAAGTAAATGAAATTAAAATAGCATTTTATAAGTGTTGGATGGATGAAAACTACAAATGTAATAATTTTATACATATAATAGAAAGGAAAACCTTAACACTGACACACACAAAGACCCCCAAATCTCTTGGCATCACTGTATCTCCTTTACCAATCTCCACAAGTTTGGTGTTCCCCATCAATACTCTGCATTAAGCAGTTTTCACTCAGGACTAGGGTTCTACACTGCCTGGTCTGATGCACTTCATGACCAACAAATTGACCACTGTAGCTCCCAGGTCCTGCCAAAAGTCTACAGCTCTGAGCACCAAAGGTCTACTTTAAATAGCATCATAATAGGAAATATCTACACGTGGTTTAAATCTCTCCTGTGATAAATAGAAATAAAGACTCTAAGGTAAAGACTGGTAGCTAAGGAAGTTGTCAGAAATCACTAAGACTGTAAAAAAAAAAAAGATATGACTATTTTATCATCCTTACTCTAAAAAAATTAAAGAGAGAAAAAAGAAAACCATCTGGCTGGTGCTTGTACTTGTCAAGTCCTTAGTGCATATAATAACAGACCCTGTCAAGCTGCTGCTCTTTGTGGTTTCTCCAGTGAAATTACCCATGGTATTCATGTCATTCTGAGGCTTTTTACAAAATCTCAACATTGATAAAATAGAGCTTGGCCCAGTGCCACATCTGTCAGGAGTTTACTGCAGGAAACTCATGATGTCAATGGTTGCTTCTCCTTGAATCTGCACTGAGTTGTCATTTCATTGCTTCATCATAAATATTGAGATAATGGGAGTTACCCTTGTTCCATTCCTAAAACATTCACCACCTTATATGATTTTAACTTTAAAATATTCAGGGGAAAAAAGCATGCAGAGGTTTAAGATGAGCTAGATTTCCTTGTCCTTAAACCCACAACATCATCACTCTTGGATGAGCACAGAAGCTACGTTGCCTGATGCCAGCTTTTTTTTATAAATCTATTTTAGTATCACCATTTAAGCAGTTAAAAGTTAGAATGCACACTTCAAAGTCTGAATATGATGGATGCACCTATCAAGAATAGCTACTGTGATCCATATTTTCAAGGACAGCATTCTTAGAAGGTTCCTCTGACACTTTACAGTCTGAATATTTATTTTTAATAGGAGCGTGTTGCCCTTGGAGGCATAGGATAAAAAAAAGGAGGTTTTTCAACACCAATTCTGACACCAGCATAAGGCAAATTGCTTTCACCAGCCATGGCTCCTCTGCCAAGCCCACCCTACCTTGCAGCCAAATTTAGGAGAGAGTCCCCAGTGATTTTCTTCACAGAGTTCACATTTTGGTCCCCGAGTGTGAGGGGGACAAATGCACTGGCCAGAATCTGCATGACAGTTGTTCTGGGTGTGAGCACAGTCACAGGCTGCAAGAAAAACAGGGAAAAAACATTAAATATCTTTTTTATAGCTAAAGAAATTGTGATCTCCAGGACCACTGAGAGTCTTTTCTTAGTTATTCAGTACAGTTCATTCATTAGACTATGAATAAAGCAGGTGAAAGGATTAATCTCAGGATTTTGTACTTTCCAAGAATTTTGCTTAGTGAATTACTCCTGTGAGGACAGGCTGAGAGAGTTGGGGTTGTTCAGCCTGGAGAAGGCTCCAGGGAGACCTTCTGGTGGCCTTTCAGTGCTTAAAGAAACAACCTGCTCTAGCTGCAGATGTCCCTGCACTAGATGACCTTAAAAGGTCCCTTCTAACCCAAAGTATTCTATAGTTCTGTGAATAAGGGCTGGATAACTGTTTTTATAATCACTATTTGCTGCAGGAAGCACATGGCTGTTTAAGAAATGGGACACTATTCCTGCTAAAAAGCAAATAATTAAGAAAAGTTGTTTCATTAATTGCTTTCATAACAGTGGCAAAGTTCTCAAGAGTGAAATCAATAAAGGTACCTAGAGATCTGGGGAGTTTTAGTCAAGAGACAGGATATATGTTTCAAAACATGATCCTATCAGGATCTCACCACAGATTTCATATTATTATACTATTTGAGGCATGAAAATAAATGTGCCTGTCAGGCTGGAGGAAAGGTTGGAACTCCTTTAGTGATATGGGTGATGAAAATGGCATCTTATTAAGATGAAAAATTAGGTTTGATGGCATCTTCTCTGTTTGGGTTACCACCAGCCTCTGTAGCATCACTAGAAATTGCACACACATTGCTGGGAAAATAGAGTCATCTATTAAAATATGTTATATATTTTAATATATTCTACATTAAAATATATATTATATTTTCCAGAATTAAAAAGAAAACATCTGTCAGAGTAGGAGCTCTTCACTTTTTCTTGCAGAAAAAATAAAAAGAAGTTTCTATTCTCTGCAAAGGACTGAAGAGTTTTGAAAAAAGAAAGACAAAGGAGCTATTGAGGGTGTAACACTTCTCTGATACAACTTTTATGTGTTGTTGTTTCCCAGGCACCACCTTTTACAAGGAACCACACAACAAGCAAGCAAAGAAACATTTTATCCCACAGCTGAATCAGAGTATGAGGAAACTGTTCTTCCATTTTTCTCTCCGCACTCATCAAAAAGCCAGACTTTAACATCAAATATGTTGCTGAAAACCACTCCAGATTAAACAAAAAGGATGCTGGGTTAGAGCTTACGTGTGCAGCCACCGTGCTGGAAGGTGTGGAAGCCATGAGCACAACGGTCACACTTCTCTCCAGCCACTCCTGGTCCACAGTGACACTGGCCCTGGTGGTCGCAGTCCTCGGAGGCTGAGCCAAGCTGGCTGCAGTTGCAGGGAATGCAGCCAAGCCCAGCCAGCAGCCCATAATAACCACCCTGGTGGGGAGGAAGCAAACACATCTCAGCTAGAGTTCAAAAAATTCTTGAAAACAAGATGATGTAGATTAAAAAAAAAATATGATGTTATTTTCTTTTCTTTCTTTTTATTTCTTTTCCCTGCTGTCTGAGCTGCTCGAATATTCTTCAGTGCTGTGGGGGAACTCCCAGAGCCCCAGCAGGGTGGGGTGGGAAGGGACCTCTGGGGGTCATCCCACCCCCCCCCCTGCTCCAGCAGCTCCCCCAGGGTCACAGCCAGGAGGGTTTGGGATCTCTCTAGAGCAGGAGACTCCACAGCCTCTCTGGGCAGCTGCTCCAGGCTCTGCACCCTCACCCCAAAGAAGTTTCTCCTCCTGCTCAGGTGGCACCTCCTGGGTTCCAGTTGGTGCCCATTGCCCCTTGTCCTGTCACTGGGCACCACTGACAGAGTCTGGCCCCAGCCTCTCAACATCCATCATCCTCTAGACTGAGCTCTTCACTGTTCCCAGCTGTATGCAAGTATGCATTGGGATAAAAAAAACCAACCAACCAAAAAAAAACACTGAAATGGTCTCATGGTCCTCTCATCAGTGAGACTTCTACATTTTACAGCCTGAAGTTATTTTAACTCAGACCTGGAGGCCTAATCCTGAGCCCTGAGGTGTGGGTGGGCTGTGCTATCAGGCACAGATTTCTGTGAACGTGCAGGAGAGACCAGAGCAGAGCAGGTCAGTGGTCTGTGGGGCACATGGGTCAAAAGGCAACCAGCTGGGCTGGCCCATGGGCAGGAACTGGGCACAGACTCCCTGCTCTGGTCTCTGAGGCTGTTCCACACTTGGCAGAGGCTGGAAACTGCTGTTTCCTATCAGCCATGAATATCTGTTTGTTCTCACAACAGGCCTGTGTCTAGCTGAGTCCCTTTCTGGTGCTCAGCCATGGTGTATTTATCATCACCAACCCCATTCTCTCAGATGGTCCCACTTCACTTGAAGGAGGACAGCACCAAGATCCCTTCAGGCCTGTTAGTAGTGTCCAGTTTCTTTTTTTGGGTAAGCCAACACGACTGCATGCTGGTGGGGAATTATAGAATTGTTTTGCTTGGAAGAGACCTTCAAGATCATCAAATTAAACAGTTCCCCCAGCACTGCCAGGTCCCCACTGCCCCGTGTCCCTCACACCACATCTCCACAGCTTGGAAACCCCTCCAGGGGTGGGGACTCCACCCCTGCCCTGGGCAGCCTGGTCCAAGGCTTGACAACTCCTTCCATGAAGACACAAGAGCCATCTCCACCTGCAAAAGGCTCTGCAGACAAACCTTTGGTCTCTGCTCCAGCAAAAAAACCCCTCTCCCCTGGATGTATTTGCTGCTATTCTCTCTATCTGCTCTAATCAACATCTAGAGATAAGCAGGAAGACCAAGGTAGAAGAAAAGGCAGCTCTTAGGAACTGATAAATATTTACTCACCAAGCACTGGTCACATCTCTCCCCAACCACATTTGCTTTGCAGTGACAGAAGCCTGTCTCATGATGACAAGTACTTGAGAGGGAACCATTCACATGGCAGGCACAGGCTTGTTTAAACAAGAAGAAATCAGGTAATTAAAAAAAAAATAATCATTTTTTTAATTCATTTGCTACAATACAGAATTCCACATTTGGTATAAAATGTATTTCACAGGTTTAGATCCTACAGAGGTTAAGATACTACAGCAAAACCTGTACCACACATTTGGGCTAAAAAGTAAAGGAAACAGCTCTGGGAAGAGATGACTTTTGAGAAGTTTGTTGCTTCCAGCCCTCCAGAAATAGGAAATGTCCACAGGTCACTGGAGGGACAGTGTGAAGCCAGCCAGGATGTTTCAGGAGTATGAAGTGGCAGATCCTAGCATAACACATTTCTTTCTCAACCCCCCAGTCTTCCTCCTGCACTTGGCAGCTCACAACTTGAAGGTTAACCCTTGCAGCAAAGGTGCAGAACCTCTTTGCCTGTTCTGTTCTTTCAATTTTGGGAGCACTACCAAGCACTCACCACGACAGCTCTTCTCAGTCACTGCATCTCCATAGTACCCATCAGCACACTTTTCACAGTGGTGACCTGCTGTGTTCCCCAGGCATTTCAGGCACTCTCCTGTGAAGGCATCACAGTGACCATCTTCTTCTGGGTTGACATTCCCATTGCATTCACAAGGGGAACAGGACTGTCCAGGAATGAGGGGGTTCCCATAGTAGCCATTAGCACACCTGAACCAGAGAATTCAAACTTTACCAGCTGGAACATCCTCAAGGCAAACACTCACCCCACCCAAGGGAGTTCTTCCTGCCAAGTTTTTGTCTAAAGTGTCTCTATCTCAAGCAAAGGCAAAATGGGAGGAAAAATTCCCTTGGGAATGTTCTGTACCTGTGGTATGGACTGTTCAAGGGTGGTAGAATCACAGGCTGGTTTGGGTGGGAAGGGACCTTTCAAGATCATCCAGTCCAACCCCCCTGCACTGAGCAGGGACATCCCCAGCTAGAGCAGGGTGCTCAGAGCCACATCCAACTTCCCCTGGGATGGTTCCAGGGATGGGGCATCCATGACATCCCTGGGCAACCTGGGTCAGGGGCTCACCACAATAAATCCCTCCCTTCCCTGTAGTCTAACTCTCCCCTTTTTAGTCTAAACCATCACTCCTTGTGCTGTCACAACAGGCTCTGCTATAAAGATTGTCCCTATCTTTCTTCTAGCCTCACTTTAAGTTCTAGAAATCCCCAAGGTCTCCCCCCCTGCAGCCTTTTCTTCTCCAGGGTGAACAACCCCAACTCTCTCAGCCTTTCTTCATGGGTAGGATGATGCACAGCAAGGATATAGGTGTTTTACCCAAAGTTAGTGTACATACCTTTCACACTGGGAACCAGTATAGCCTGGAAGACATTTGTCACAGACAATTCCACCTCTGTCACTCAGATGGCAAGTAGGACTGAAACTAGGGACAATATTGGTGGCAGTCAGGAGCCATACTCAGAATCACAAGACTCCTACAGACATTCAGTATCAAAGAATCCCAGCATGGGGGGGTGGGAAGGGACCTCTGGAGATCATCTCATCCAAACTCCCTGATAAAGCAGAGTTATCCACAGCAGGGTGCCCAGGGTCACAGCCAGGAGGGTTTGGGATCTCTCCAGAGCAGGAGACTCCACAGCCTCTCTGGGCAGCTGCTCCAGGCTCTGCACCCTCACACCAAAGAATTTTCTCCTCCTGTTCAGATGGAACTTCCTGGGTTCCAGTTTGCCCCTGTTGCCCCTTGTCCTGTTGCTGGGCACCACTGACAAGAGTCTGGCCCCAGCCTCTTGAACCCTACAGGCCCTTTAGCTCTTGCTCAGCACTGATTAGACCCCCTCTGAGTCTCCCCTTCTCCAGGCTGAGCAGCCCCAGGGCTCTCAGCCTGTCCTGGGCACAGAGATGCTGCAGTGCCCTCAGCACCTTCCTACCCTTATCCATCCTTGAAGTCCATGCACCTATCTATATAGGTCATTGCAAACTTTCCTAGTTTAACATCAATGCTTTCAACATTACAATATGTCAGAATAAAGTTCTCATTTTCAAAAACCCCTTGAGTTGTTTTTTTGAGTTTCAAGATGCAAAAGAAATGCTGAGGTAAGCAGCTCACCTGTTTGCAGCAGAGCTCAGGGGACATGCACAGGGCTGGCAGTCCTCAGGGGTTCCTTGGGATGGGTTTCCATAGAAGCCAGGCAAGCACTGATCACAGAAAGGCCCTGTCGTGTTGTGTTGACAGCCCTATGAGGCATGGGGAAAATGAAAATAAATCAATAACTCTTCTCCTATTTACTCTTGATGGTTTTTCAGCCCCTGAGGAGTCTGCATGGGGTCTAACACTCAAGGAGACGGCCACGAGGAACAGAGTAGAACTATGAAAATAAGTGGGGGGTTTTCCAAGATCTAACAGCAAATCCTGATTAGGTTTTCCCAGATTTTTGAATATTTTTACACCACAAAACTGGCCGTGATAAACTGAAACAAACTCTTTACTGAAGAAGACTTTAACGGATCCCTTCGGATATAATCTGAGGTAACCAATGAAAAGCAAGAAAAATAAACACTTGCCACCCATAGCTTGAAATTTATGGGTGCTGTAAATTTGTGTCCCACGACCCAAAAGCTCTAAATCCCTGAAGAGGAGCTGGCAACACAAAGACTTTGAAGGCTGACTTACAAAGCAAACGCCACGAACGTCACACTCAGTCGCATGCCCGTTGCACTTGCAGGGCTGACAAATGCCTCCAAAGAGTATTCCATCCACACGGTAGTACCCAGGGAGACAGGACTGAAAAGAAATCAGTGTAATGGGGGGGAAAAAAAAAAGCATTATGTGGGTTAAAAGCCCACATTAGAATGTTTTCTAAGAGCCCACTTCCGACCACCCACCATCTGACTCATTGGCGCTGGGGTAAGTGAATGCTCTGTCAGCTCTTTCTGGGGGTTGTTTTTCACTTGCACTGGATAAAGGGGATAAAAATTAACTCCATAAAACTTTAATTCAGCCCTTTGTCCCCCCCGAGGCACAGAAGTTGAGTTTTGTGCAGCTGAGTATGTGAAGCTCTTTACAGCAGGGCAATAAAAAGCAGATGTTCTACCTCCTCTGCAGAATCCTTAACGACGCTACAGCACAGGGCTTCAGAAGGAAATTATTTGTCAAATTAATGCCTGCTATTCTGCAGATGGTGCTCTGCCTCCCTGATCTTCTCTTCACAGAGATGTAAAACCTCGTGCAGCACACATTGGATCCTTGTGGGATCTTCCAAATGTGAGAATTCCTCCCTGCTACTAAGAGTCCTTATCTCCACCAGCTCAGTGACAGAGAACTGGAATAACCCACGCGTGGGTCAGATCCAGGCAGGTGTTATTAGTGGGCAAGGTGAGCTCCAAACAGCCCCCCAGATGCTCTCTCTGCAACACTGGTGTTCTGAAGTGATCATCATCTTTTAGTGCCACCAGATAGAATTCAAGAAATAAGTTTAAAATCTCCTCTAGGGTATCTGGAAGAAAACATCTACAGTGTTGTGTAGAGTAGAGCAGACAGCACTTCACCACAGAGCACTCATGGCAACATCATACAAGGAACCAGCCTTTAAAAGCTGGATTCTTTCAGAGAGGAGATCATTTTGCACACATAGAACACAGTAAGAGGTTACCTCACAGGATATTCCTGTGTAACCTTGAGGGCATTCACAGAACTCCACGTCTGGTGCTGAAGAAAGATCTATAACATTTGCACTTGCAGTATCCAGGGTCACGGAGTCCAACCTAGGACCAAACAGGAAAACATCACACTGTTTGTTTCCTCACACTTGATTTTTGGAAGAGTGATAGTTGGCTTCTAAGAGACCTGCCTGGCAGGGACAGCTGAGGACAGGCCCAAAATTCAGCTGTGAAAGAGACTGTGATCATCATTTTATCATTGCATTTGCCATTCTGGGGGCTGTGCCCCATTCTCCTGTGATCATTATTGTTACCACCATTGCCTCTTCTCCTGTGGTGGGGTTTAAACCAAACCTTCCCTTCT